GGGGGGGGGGGGGGGGGGGGGGGGGGGGGGCAAAGGTCAGCAGGAGGCTGGCCGGTCAGGACCTCCATGAGGAGCCTCAGGACCCTCATGAAGAGCTACAGGACCCCCATGAAGAGCCTCCTTACCTTGAAACCATAGAACCTGGCGTTGTAGGTAATGTTGGTGATTTGGTCCACATTGTCAAAGTACCAGTTGTATGTCTGCCCCGAGGGCAGCAGCGCCATCCAGCCATACTTATGAGTCATCCTCTTCTTCAGGAACGGGACCACGCTGGTTCCTGGGACCAGAAAAAAACAGCCCTGTGAGCTTGATGCCGGACTCATGAGTCCAGACGATCCAAAGAGATTTATCCAGTTTTAGCTCCCATCATGCACCCCTCCTCCCTCTATAGGCCCAGACTGCTGGGGGGCTCCCATGATGCACCTCTCCATGCACACGTGACATCATTGTTGTCATTAATAATGATCCCAACCCTGTCCAAAAACATGGTCTCCCTTCCCATTTCTGATGGTTCTAGGTGTTTTTTTCTTCCCACGGTCGCCTTTTTATCGGATTTAAGTAAAAATTTAGTGTAGTTTGCTGGTTTCTTTATATTGGAAGACATGAATTAATTTTAAGTTTATTGGATTATGTCTGTATTACAATTAACTGGAATTGATTGGCTTGAATTGGTTTGTATTTTTGAAGCGACCACAGATGGCATTTGTTGTGGTTTGATGCTTTATAAAGAATTTAAAATCAATTGAAGACCTTCAGATCTAATTCCTAATTAAAAAAAGAATCAGTGACAGATTTTTGGTGTTTCAGAAAAGAGATCTTTCACCAGCAGGAGGCAGTAAAGCTGATAGGAAACTGAGCCTCCTCTGCATTGGGAGGCGTTCAGTACCATGTGAGTTGGTAAAGATGGCGTCTTTGGCCTTCAGAGAGGTTGGCGTGGGGTTGTTGAAGGCCAGTCGGTGGAACTCGACGGTGTGGTCGCACACGGCGCCGGGGAAGCCCACGCTCCACTGGGCCTCCTGGGAACAGCGAGCAGGGTCCAGCAGGCTGCTCATGGGCACCACTTTGTGGTTAGCATTGCCTAAAGCCAGCCAAAAACATGCCGGTGGAGAGGAAAAGAGACACAGGTCAAGAAATGAGTTGATAAATGAATTATAATCATGCTCAAAAGCCACAGAAACCAGACGGTTTGATTTCCTTTGCTGGTTTGGGTTTAGGTCATGGTTAGGTTTGGGGTTATGTTTAGGGTTATGGTTATTCAGGGTTTATTGAGAATAGTTTTTCCTGTTTACTCTTTTCTAGAGGTTAGGCTCCAAAATCCTTCAGGTAAGTATTTTTGTTTTGTTTTTTTCAGGTCCCTGTTCAGGTTCCAGGTAAGTACATTAGTTTTTCTTTTTCAGGTGAAGGTGAGTATTGGGTAAGTATGGGTTTTTCTAGGGGGTAAAATAGAGTGTTTAAGTAAGTTCCTATATGCTTAATATTGAAATAAGTTTAAATAAATATTTGTGTTACAATAACATTAAATAAAAATTAAAAGAACCATACATTTTACAAATAAGATTAATAACAATTTCATTAGTTTTTTTCTTTTCCTGTCTGTCTTTTTCTCCTTTAAATAAAAAAAAAAAGATTTTGTTTTGTGTTCATGTTTCTGTACTTTTTTTTTACTTGTTTATTGTCTGCCCTTTTTTGCTGCCTGCTGTTGTGCACCGTTACGCTGTGGTTTTGCTGCTCCTGCACATAAACCCAACACATTGTTCTGATAGAAATAAAAACAAACTGGGTACCGGTGAGGGAGCCGTCCGTGTCCACCAGCTGGACCTCGTGCTCCCACCTGAAGCCGGCCTTGTTGGGTGCGTTCAGGAACTGGACCCCGGCGAACCGGACAGCCCAGCCACCACAGCGGTCCACGCAGGTGCCGTCGATCTTGGCCACGCCCACGGCGGCGCAGCTGTTGCGGTTGAAGTTGATGAACTTGGTGTCCAGGACGCTCATGCCGTCATCGAGCGGCGCGATAACGCCGCGATGCGTGCACTGCTGGGCGCCCAGGCCCAGCTCGTCCAGGTGGCCCACCATTGTGCTGTTGGTCACGGTGGCGCCGCCGTCCTCGCCGAAGCCGCTCACGGCCCATTGGAAGATGCGCTTGGCCTCCACGCCGGCTTTCTCGTTGTTGACCATGAGGAAGCCGCTGAACTGCACGGCGCCCACGTTGACCCATTCGGCGCCCTTCTCGCAGTTCCAGGCGGTGAGCGAGCGGAAGACGGCGGGCGCCGGCGTCCTCGACCGGCAGCCGCCGCCACGCATGGGGAAAAAGTCCTGGAAGATCCAGAGGCCAAACCAGCCCTGCGAGTGCACGGTGTTGTTGGAGAACTCGCCCAGCGGCACCCGCTTCTGGCAGACGTTGGGGTCGTAGGACGGGCCGTCGGGGTGCTCGTGCATGCGGTACCAGAAGCCGAAGTGCGAGCCGCCGGCGGCGGCGTTGTGCCGCAGCACGTTGTCGGGGTTGGTGACCCAGAAGGCGGCCGGCGTGACGTCGTCGTTCAGCAGGCTGGTGCTCTGCTTGACCAGCACGGCCAGGTTGTACTGCAGGACGTTCTGGGTCTCCACGCCGTCCTCGATGAAGAAGGCGCCGCCCATGACGTCGTAGACCACGTTGTGCTCCACCAGCAGCCGGTGCGTGTTGTGGATGGTCACGGCCCGGTTGAAGGTCCGGTGGATGGAGCAGCCGCGCACGTACGACTGGAAGCCGATGTCGCCCATCAGGTGCCAGTGGATGGGGTACCGGCCCAGCCGGAAGGCCTGGCCCGCGTGGGACACCTGCCACAGAGAGGCATCAATCAGTCAGTAAGTCAATCAATCAATCAATTAATCAATCATTTTGTAAGTCAGTGAGTCAGTCAGTGAGTCAGTCAATCAATCAACAAATCAGACAGTCATTTAATAAATCTATCAATCAATCAATGAATCAGTCAGTCAATCAATCAGTGAGTAAGTCAGTCAATCAATAAATCAGATAGTCAATACATTTATTAATACATCAGTCAGTCAATTAATCAGTGAGTCAGTCAGTCAATCAATAAACCAGTTAGTCAGTCAATAAATCTATAAATCAATCAATAAATCAGTTAGTCAGTCAATAAATCTATTAATAAATCAGTCAGTCAATTAATCAGTGAGTCAGTCAGTCAATCAATCAATAAATCAGTCATTCAAACAATAAATCAGTCAGTCAATCAATCGGTGAGTAAGTCAATAAATCTATCAATTTGTAAGTCAGTCAATCAGTTGAACAATGAATGGATGAATGGTTGAATAAATCAATAAATTAATCAATGAATAAGTCAGTCAGTGGATCAATCGTCCGGCGGCCCGTTCCTACCTCCACGTACTCCAGCCGGCCCACTGCCAGGTTCTGACCCGGCCGGGGGGCGTGGAACATGATGCAGCCCCCAAACTGGTCGCTGCCCGCTTCCTCCCCGAAGCGGCCCTGGAAGCAGGTCTGGGTGGCAAACTCCCCTGAAAGGCAGAGAGGCTGACCTTTGACCTCCACCCACTGAGCTGGGAGGGGTTACTCTGACCTTTGACCTCCATATATATATAGTATATATAGCAGAAAGTAGGAGTTGTATATTGTAATAATAAAAAATATATATATACATAATAAATATATAATAGTAATGGTAATAATAACAATAACAATAATAATAGTTTGTATATATAATCATATATTTAAAATAAATCATTATCATCATAGTAATATATATACATCTATAGTAACAATTGTGTATTGTAATAATTAAATAAATAAATTATAATAATATAATTATATACATGTCCTATATAGTAATAGTCATTATAGTAATAACAATAACAACAACAACAACAATAATAATGATAATAATATAATTATATACATGTTCTATATAGTACAAGTCATAATAGTAATAACAACAACAACATCAACAATTATACTACTACTACTACTACTACTACTACTACTACTACTACTAATAATAATAATAATAATGTGATGGCTCCTCACCGGTGTCGAAGCCGTCTGGGCAAGCCTGGATCTGCTCGTTCCAGTCCTGGTGCTGGGATCCCCGGACCACGATGTTCCTGGTGAGCAGGCCCACCTCGGCCCGGGCCTGGAAGACGGTGCCGTCAGGCAGTGTGACGGCCACCCCCAGGTGGGCATGGCTGAGCGGCTCGGTCAGGGTGAGGGTCCTCCCATCGGCCGACACCGAGCTGATGCTCCGCACCTCGTTCTCTCTCTGACTGTGCCTGGAAAGCCCATTTAGAGACAGAAATTAGCCTGGAAAGTCCATTTAGAGACAGAACTGAGCCTGGAAAGTCCATTTAGAGACAGAACTGAGCCTGGAAAGTCCATTTAGAGCAGAACTGAGCTTGGAAAGTCCATTAAGAGACAGACCCGAGCCTTGAAAGCCCATTTAGAGACAGAAATTAGCCTGAAAAGTCCATTTAGAGACAGACCTGAGCCTGGAAATCCCATTTAGAGACAGACCTGAGCCTGGAAAGTCGATTTAGAGCAGAACAGAGCCTGGAAGGTGCATTTAGAGACAGAACTGAGCCTGGAAAGTGCATTTATAGACAGTAATGAGCCTGGAAAGTCCATTTAGAGCAGAACTGAGCTTGGTAAGTCCATTTAGAGACAGAACGGGGCCTGGAAAGTCTATTTAGAGAAATAACTGAGCCTGGAAAGCCCATTTAAAGACAAAACTGAACCTGGAAAGTCCATTCAGAGATTGAACTGAGCCTGGAAAGTGCATTTAGAAACAGAACTGAGCATGGAAAGTGGGGCGGTTCTGACCGATGGCCGGTGGAAGCGATCACGATCTGGTCTCCAGGTTTCCAGGTGACCTCCATCATCAGGGTCAGCCTGTCGGAGCCGGCCGGCGCCGTCTGGGCCAAATGGGTCCAGGTCACCGGGACGGGGAGCCCTGAAGGCAGCAGAGGGCTCAGGGGGTCTGTCATCTATCTATCTATCTATCTATCTATCTATCTATCTATCTATCTATCTATCTATCTATCTATCTATCTATCATCCCTCCCCTCTATCCTCCCTTTCCCCGACCACCCCCCCAACCCTTCCATCTCCCTTTCTCCCCCGCTCACCCATACCTCCACTCCCTCCTATCCATCCCTACCCTCCCTCTTTCCCTCCCTCCCTCCCTCCCTCTTTCCCCCCCTCCCTCCCCCCCCCCCCCCCCCCCTCCCTTCCCTCTCCCCCTTGCCCCCCCCCTACCATGCAGGTCCAGCTGTCCCTCTCTGACCGCCAGCGTCTTGGTTCCATAAACGGGGAGTTCAGGTGAGCGCAGGTTTCCGTGCAGCGTGATGACGGCTTTGTGCTGGAAGGGCGCCCCCTCCTGGCCCACCTGCAGCCGCCCGCCGTCTGTGATCAGGATGTTTTCCGCCTGCAGCTCCAGGTCGGCCTCGTCGAACACCAGCGTCCCCCCTGAGCACAAACAGCTGCTTCTGAGTCGGGGTCAAAGGGAAGAACAGCTCAAATGAAGCTGTTGCTAGCTGGAGAAGTTACACTAGGCCACCACCGGGTGGCAGTACAGCACACTGCTGTAATAAAAAAATAAACCAATAAAAAAATTGTATAATAATACATAATATATAATTCAATAATAATACATTATAAACAGATAAGATAAAACGATAGAATACATAATATATAATAATGCTATAATATAAAGAGATACATAATATAACATGATAATAATACATAATGTATAATAACAATAGAATATCAACAGATACATAATAATATCATATGATAAAAATACACTATTTTTAATAATATTATAATATTAACAGATACATATTATAATATGATAATACATCATTTTTAATAATAATATATAAACATATAGATAATATAATATGGTAATAATACATAATGTATTATAATAATAGAATAAAAACAGATAAATAATATGACAATAATACATAATTTTTTAATAATAATGCTATGATATGAACAGGTAAATCTGGGGGTCCTACCTTGGATCAGGAGCATCTTGAGCACAGGGGTGCTGGCGTCCAGCAGGATGGTCTGACCTTTGGTGATGACCACAAACGAGCCCCTTTCGGGGGGGGTCAGACCCCCCCAGGTGAACCTGGACGACCACACGTCGATGTAGAAGAAGTCTGCGCCACCCTGGAGGCCCAAAGCAAACCGGAGATGCTTTTTCTGCCGCTGGAGCCCGGCGGCATTACGGAGCCGGTCCTCACCTGCTGGGCCACGCCGCGGTTGCCGATGGCGACTCGGACTGTGGCTTCCTGCGAGCGGTTCTGGGCGCCGGTCAGGCAGACGATGTGCGTGAGGTTGGAGGACTGGACGTCACACACCGAACCGGCGATGGACACGCTGACCTCACTCAGGTCGGAGCTGCCAGCCAGACACACGGTTAGTGGAGTCCATGAACATTAAAACACTGGAACTGACTGAAAGTGGATGTTAGAATTCAAATAAAATACATTCAAAGAAGATGTTTAACTACAAATACATATAAACATATAGTATACATATACACATACTACAGTACATGATCTTTACTAGGGAGAGTATATATGCATATAAAAGCTAATGAATCCAACTGAATATCTTTATATTACTGTCAGGTATGTTTATTTTTCACACTTTGGTACATTAAAATATATGTAATAATGCTGTATAATATTGGTGTAAAAAATGTTAGAAAAAACAATATAATATAATATAATATAATATAATATAATATAATATAATATAATATAATATAATATCATTTATAGGCCTGTTATTGAATAATAAAGCCTTTTTACTACCCTGTCTATTGTGTTACGTATATTTTGGCAATTTGAGATAATCAAATTGATAGTTTTTTAATCTGTTACAAAAAATGGAACATTCAAATTTAACTCAGACTTTAAACATGATTAAAAATATCCATGAAAATGCAGATTTGTTCTGATACTCCTACTTTGACATAACTAATCAAAAATGAATAAATAAAAATCTAAGATTGTAAAAAATGGTTTTGTTCCATTAAAACTTTAAGGGTTCACATTCATAACTGTGAAGTTTCTTTAGTCGGGGGCTGTAAAACTTTAGATTAAAACCAGCCAACAGGGGGGCGAGTCTCTGTCCAGCTGTGGGCTTCACCTGAACCCGGAGCCGGCGATGGTGAGCCGGGTGCCGCCGGCCGTGCCCCCCCGGCGAGGAGACACCTCCCGGATAACCGGGGTCAGCTCAGACTTGTAGGTGAAGCCGGCCGATATGTTGGCAGCATCCAGCGGGTTGACCACAGAAACGGGGCAGCTGACCTCCGACTGGGAGCCTAACGGGAGGACCCAGGAGAGAGGGGGTGCGCTCAGTGATTTACAGCTCTGTGTTAAAACCGTGCAAAGATGAAGGAAAAGCTAAAAAAGAGTCTGATTCAAAGGGAAAAATAAGTCAAATTAACCTCCAAAGCTCCTTCCAGCTGGGTTTCAGCTCCCTGACGAAGCAAATATTATATAATACCCAATAAATATTTAAAAAGTCCCATATAGAAACTGAACTGGATAGAGAAGTTACACTATGCCACCAGTAGAAGAAGAAGAAGAGTTTGAAACAGAATTAAACTCTGAAGCCATGACCAGTTGGGAGCCTTTGGATTTTTACTAATAATTTAGCTGGTTGTAGACTTTATTGAGCAGCACATTTTTGTTTGATCTATTTATCTTAATTGTATAAAAATAGAAAAACACAATAAAATCACGGCAAAACGAGAGATAATAAATATATCTGAATTAAGTGAGATGAACAGAGAGCTGTTTAAGCTGCTGCATTGTTTTACAGTGAATAAAACCAAATTTTATAAAGAAACTTAACCTTTCTTATGCCACACAGCTTGCATACATGCAGAAAATACAAGCAAATCAGATAAAAAATTCTTTGAAATGGACTCATTTGTCATTTTAAAAAACCCTTATCATGCAGTTTAGGTGTCACATGACCCTTTCCCACAGTTTCTGCTCCAATAAGCCGATAATGAAGGCCTTTCTGGGGAAGTGGGGGCACGGCTCACCGTTGTTGGCTGGACTCTGGCAGTACAGACGGGTGGATGTAGACTTTTCCCTCAGGACGTCACATTCCTCCCCGCAGATCAGCACCCTGGAGCTGTGGGGGTCGAACCCGGAGCCCTGAAGGGTCAGCAGAGCGCCGCCGCCAAAGCTGCCTGAACCAGAACACAGACTTCATCCAACAGGAGCCACAAAACCAAAACGAGGCGCTTCATTCACACCTTTCGGGTCTGTATGTGGGAAAATACAAAAAAACTACAAATATGGCGTTTCAATGCTCAGTTACAGATTATACTCAGTTTAGCCTGAGAGGACAAAATGAGGCTTGAAGTGTCTCACTGCGATGTTTGATGAAGAATCCTCTGAAAATAGGAGCTGATTTGACACTAAATGATGGAAAAACATCAGTTTTTACAGAAATAGTTGTAATAATCCCACAAATGAATTTGGCAACCAGATAAATTACTTAAAGAAATTCAAATAAATCAGAATAACTTAAATTAATGCTTTGAATTTCTTCTTTTTTCCTCCAGAATCAGCTCTGATTTCCACTAAATGAGCTCTGTTCCAGCATATTGAAAAAATCCCACCAATTAGTTTGGGGATCAGATAAATTACTAAATAGCTAAATTACTAAAAGGAATACACATAAGTAAATAAAATTAATCAAAATATAATGGAAATGGTTTAAGCTTACAGAACAGGAGGTGTTCTTACCCTCGGTGGGCTGCACGCCGCTCAGCGTCAGCTCGTAGGTGAACGCTACCTCTGACAGGGCGTGACCTTTGACCCCGTGGTGCAGGACCACCGGGTAGGTGCCCCCCGGGTTGCTGCCGGCGGTGCACTGGAGCTGCGAGTCGGAGACGGCCGTCAGGTTGCAGGGGACGTGGTTAATGGTGACGGAGAGGAGCTGGGGGTCGGCGCCAAAGCCCGAGCCGGTCAGCGTGATGATGGACCCGCTCGGCCCTGATGGAGGAGACCTGTCACTGCCTGTCCAAAAACCTCCACATCCACAAACATTCAGCCCCGATGGGTCAGACCTCCATCACCACACAGTTCAGTTCCAACTTTATTTTAGGACCAAAACTGCTCTCTGGTTCTGGCCTGAGACGTTGGATTTGACCCAGATCAGCTTGTTTGAACTGTGTGGATCTAAAACAAACTCAAACCTGGACGTTTTCCACAGGTTTTCCCCTCCAGCTTCTCACTTTTGCTCACTTCCTGTTTTAAAAAGGCTCCTTAGACAGTGTGAGCCGACTTATCCTAGTTTGAGGGTAAAATCTGTGGAAATGTCCAATATTTGAGGGTAAAACCTGTGGAAATATGAAAATCTGTGGAAAATGTCCCTGTTCTAGGGTAAAACCTATGAAATATGTCCCTGTTTGAGTGTAAAATCTATGGAAAATGTCCGTGTTTAAGGCTAAAATCTGAAAATCTGTGGAAAATGTCACTGTTTGAGGGTAAAATCTATAGAAATGTCCCATATTTGAGGGTAAAACCTGTGGAAATATGAAAATCTGTGAAATATGTCCCTGTTTGAGGGTAAAATCTATGGAAAATTTTCCTGTTTGAAGGTAAAACCTGTGGAAATGTGTGTGCTTTAGTGAGAGGCTGTTACCGCTGGGGGGGCTGATGGAGCTGACGTTGGGCGTCAGGTCTGCAGAGTAGTTGAAGCTCAGAGGGGGAAACTCCACGTCCAGGACCCGGATGGTCAGGTCCACCTGGTCCTCGGCGTGGGGGGGGCTGAGGCAGCGCAGCAGGCCGGGGGTCACCTCCTGCAGGCGGCAGGCCGCCCCCCCCAGCGCCACGCTGGTGTTCCCAGGAGCAAAGCCGTTGCCCCTGACGACCAGCGGCGTGCCCCCCGCCAGGCTGCCGGCGGGGGGGCTCAGGGCGGCCCGGGCCCGGCTGGTCAGGGTGGCGCCCCCCGCCGCCAGGCCCCTGCTCCTCACCAGCACGGCGAGCGGGTGGGCGCCGGCGGGCAGGGCGCCCACTCTGGCCGTGATGTTGCCGTCGGTTACGGACGCCACCTGATATACAGACAGGCTTCGTTCCACATTCACTAACTGCATTTTCATCAAGCATGATAATAAACTGACATGTTTTTCTTTTCTCCCCAACAAAAATTTCACTTCATTTGAGCATTGTCAGAGTAAGAAGACCGCCAGCTATAATTTGGAATGGTGTCTTCAACTACAGTAACGTGGAATGTAGTGGTGATGCATGGTATTGTGACACTGAGCTTCTTTCCAAAGTGATGACATGCGTTCATTTACCTCCAGCTGGGCGGCGCCCGCAAACACGGCCACGCCCCCCTCGGCCGCGCCGAATCCGGCGCCCGAGATGGTCACCACTGTCGGGCCGTCCACGTTGTCCGGGGAGACGCCGCTGACCAAGGGAGTGGCGTCCGGCGAGTACAGGAAGGAGCAGTTGGCGGAGCAGGAGCTCTGGAGGCGCCCGGCCTGGAAGAGCACGGCGCCGGCGGCGTTCGGCCGGGACGGCGCGGCGGCGCACTCGACGTGCGTGTAGTTGAGCCGCAGCACGCCGCACGGCTCGCCGGCCGCCGTTACCGCCCCCCCCTCCGAGAACCCGGACCCCCGCAGCAGCAGCCGGGCGCCGCCGGTGGGGCTGCCCACGGCGGGCGCCACCGAGTCCACCACCGGCAGCAGGGCGAAGCGGCGCAGGGGCTCGGACGCCACGGCAACCAGGGCGGCGCCCAGGCCGCGGACGCTCACCGCCACGGGGAGGGCCGCGCCCACCGGGAGGCCGGAGTCGGCGGGAAGCTGGCAGCTGATGTCCGACTCGGAGCTGCTGAGCACCCGGCAGGACGCCCCCCCGATGGTCACCTGAGGACGGCAGCAGGTTTGAGCTCCATAACAGCAGAAGAGGCCTCAGTTTGAGGCAGAAGAACTCAGTTTACAACAGAAAAACGGCCTCAAACTCACAGAGAAACTCAGTTTAAAGCACAAAAACTGCCCCATTTTGGCTAAAAATCTAAGAGAAACTCACTTTAAAGAAGAAAAATGACCTCAAACTCACAGAGAAACTATAATTTAAAGCAGAAAAACAGCCTAGTTTTGGCTAAAATTAAAAGAGAAACTCAATTAAAAGCAGAAAAACTCAGTTTAAAGCAGAAAAACAGCCTAATTTTACCTCGAAATCTCAGAAAAACTCAATTGAAAGCAGAAAAACAGCCTAATTTTTGGCTCAAACTCACAGACAAACTCAGTTTAAAGCAGAAAAACTCAGTTTAAAGCATAAAACAGAGTTCCCCCCCCCCCACTGACCTCATTGGCGCACGCGGTGAGGCTGAACCCGCGGCCCTGGATGGTGATGACCTGGTGGTAGGAGCCCTGGTTGGGGGAGATGGAGGTGACGGTGGGGGTGGAGCAGCTGGAGGCGCTGAAGCTGAGCCCCTCTGAGCTGTTGCTCTGCTGGCACTGAGGGGACGCCTCACACTGGGGGGCCTCTCTGGAGACCCGACGAGAGCCTGGGGGGTATTATAGAATAATAATATATCATTATTATTCACTATATAATTATATTTATATTTCTAATAATTAGAAATAGTAAAAAGATCATTATAAATCTAATTTTATAAATATATATGATATATTATAGTATAATATTATATTGCTTTATATTGTTTTCCTAACAATTTTTTATATCAATATTACACAGCATAACTACATATATTGTATTGTACCAAAGTATAAAGAAACAAAATGTACTTCACATTTCTTAGCTTATATACAGCATACATATATATAGGGGGAGGGGGCTCTCTGGTCCTCTTTGCCTTGGTACAGGTATTTTTTCTTAAGTAGTGTATATATTTGTATTTAAAATGTGTATTTATGTATTTAAAAGTTTACTCAGAAATTGAGTTTTGAAGGTCTTAATTACAACATTTTAATTACTCAATAAGCACATGATTGGTTAAAAATGTATTTTAGATTGTCGAGATTTCTGTCTGAGAGGTCAAAGATTATAAATATAAAGTTCAGGAGGCTAAAGAGTCTCTGGTTTGAAATGAAATAATATAAAAGGTAAAACCCTCCATCCTGCCCCCGCTCCACCTTAAACTGGTCAGGTGATGCGTCCCTCCCCCTTTAGTGAAGCAGTACCTGCCGGCGCCTGCCTGGCCTCCACGCCGCCCACCCTGACGGTCACTGGGCTGGTTTTGTCCTCTCTACCCCTGACTTTGACCACGCCCTGCAGCCTCCGGATGCCAGCGCCGTCCACGGGCCCGCTGCTGTAGTAGTACGCCCCCGGCACAGTGAAGCGGTAGCTGAAGGACCCTGAAAAAACATTTAAAAACCGGCCATGAAGACTTAAAACTCCAGGCTGCAGAAGCTCTGCAGCACAAACAATGTTTAACACTAAAAAACAGATTTATTACTGTTATCAGTGCATTTTCAAACATCCTGTTTTACTTAACCGACATTTATTTACATTTAAAATATAGTTAGAAATAAATAAAGTAGCCTTCAAATACAAATGAAGAAAGTTTGACCAATTCCTTTTTTTTCTATCAATTTATTTATTTTAAAAAAACGTTATTAAATGTTTTGAGGACTAGCAGACAATCAGATCGAGCACAAAAACAGGCAAAAAAAGTCAATATAAAGACATTTAAATTAAGTTTAACCAATTCTGTTTTTTTCTAACTACTTATCTATTGTATGTATTGAGGATGTGCAGACAATCAGATGGAGACCAGAAACAGGCACAAACATTTAAATTGAGTTGGACCAATTCTGCTTTTTTCTAACAAGGAAATAAAGTTTGACAAATTCATTTTTTTTCTAACAATTTATTCATCTATCTAATTGTTACTTTGTTTGATTTAAATTTATATTTATTTCATTAAATTCATTTTAAAATTGATTTATTTAAATAAACAGTTTATTTAGATTAAGTTTGACAAATTCAGTTTTTTTCTAACTATTTATTTATTCAATGTATTGAGGATGTGCAGAAAATCAGATGGAGACAAGAAACAGCCACAAACAGTCAAAATAACGACATTTAAACTAAGCTTAAGTTTGACCAACTCTGGTCCTGATTGGCTGGAGGATTGGCTACTTCCTGAGAATGCTGGGATTCAGCTTTTAAAGCTTTCACACCTACTCAATCATGAAAACTTGTAATAAATGTCGAAGTATAGAGATTTTGTGCTCATTGATAACTCAGAAAAAGACGAACACAGTCACTTTAATTGGTGTATTTCATCCCACAGAAAATCCCGACTCTGGTTTTCTACCTTTGGCCGTCTTGGCCTCTCCGCTGTTGATTGGTCCGCCTTCATAAGTGGATCCGCTCGGGCTGGAGACGCTAAAGACGCGGTACCCGACTGGCTGGAAGGCCGGAGCCTCCCATCTCCACACCACCGTGTCGCCCACGAAGACTGTGAGGGAGGCCGGACTCCATGCAAACCCCGGTCCATGAGCTGGGACACCAACACAAAACAGAGCCTGAAGGACACCCACACAGAGCCAGGAATATGTTCCCAGAGCTCCCACAGTGGGTCAGAACATGGATGAAACCATGAATATACATGTAAAAGATCTAAAAGTATATACTAAAAGGCCCAAAAAAGGCAAAAGGACCACAAAAAGAGCTCAAAAGGCCAAAAACAGGGCTGAAAAGACAGAAACATTTAGCTTAAAAGCCCAAAAAAGGCATCTAAAAATCGCCAAATGGGTCAGAAACTGAATGAAACCATGAATATACATTTAAAAGATCTAAAACTAGATACCAAAAGGACGAAAAAAGGGCAAAGGATCACAAAAAGAGCTCAGAATGTCAGAAACGTGGCTGAAAAGGCCGAAAAATGTAGCTAAAAATCTAAAAAAAGGCATCTAAACCTCCCAAAATGGGTCAGAAACAGAATGAAACCATGAATATACATGTAAAAGATCTCAAACTAGATACTGAAAAGACTAAAAAAAGGAATTCAACTTAAGAACTAAACAGGGCTCAGAGCTTTCTGGGGGGATTTGGTCCCTAAATGTGCTCTGATTTGGTCTCTATCAGCAGGACAGCAAAGGTAAGGCAGCATTTGTGAGGCTGTTTGTGGAGTCTGAAGCAGAAACTTTGTTCTTTTTCTGGTTTCTATCAGCTTTGGCAGCAGGACAGCAAAGGTAAGGCAGCATTTGTGAGGCTGGTGTTTCTGATGGGGGGGGGTTACTGGGACTCACTGAGGTGGGAGCCCTGGTTGGTGACCACCAGGGTCTGGTCTTCTGGACGGACGACGCACAGCAGCTCCTCCTCAGTGGCAGAGACCACGTCACAGATGGAGCCCCCTGGAAGAAAAGCAGCCTCAGGATTCATCCATCCATCATCCATCTGTCATCCATCCATCCATCCCTCATCCATCTGTCATCCATCCATTCATCGGTCATCTGTCATCCATCTGTCATCCACCCCTCCATCCACCCATCCACCCTTCCATCCCTCCACCCTTCCAACCCTCTACCCCTCCATCCATCATCCAACCATCATCCATC